ACTTAAACACTTAAACTAGTCACACACACACACACACACACACACACACACACACACACACACACACACACACACACACACACACACACACACACACACACACACACACTCACCCATGTCAGGAGACTGTCACACAGCTGCCCTCGACCCAAAGCCTCCAGAGCGCTCATGTTCCGCGGATACACCAGATACACGACCAGAGAGAAGTCCTGCAGAACCAGAACTAGAGCTAGAGCTAGAGCTGGAGCTGGAACTAGAGATGGAACCAGAACTAGAGCCGGAGCGACGAGAAGCTGGTTTTGAGGAATAAAGCGCCGGCGACAGACGAGCTTTCCCTCAGGGGTCCTTCGGCTGCCACCCTGCAGGATCGGGGCACCTAATGCCTGACGGAAAATATCACGGCAGAAACCCGCTTTGCTGAAAGATGATCTTAAAACGGGGGAAACGTTACTGTTTACTAAAATTAGTATGGTAAAAAAATCGCGCATATAAGACTTGATGAAGTGAGACAGGCAGCGAAACGCGCGGCTTTCCACAAGGCGACGGCAGAAGAGAGCGGAACTGTGTGCGGGTTTTATTAAAGGGAACCGTGTTTTTATCAGATCTGATGAATACACATAATAACATGTCTCGGGTTTCCCCAGAATGCCTTTTGTTCTTCCGCTCTCCGGAGCAGAAGGGGGCGGTAATGAGCCAGTGATCCGCCATATAACACGAAGAAGAAGAAGAAGAACGCGGAACTAACCGAGCCCACAACACACACATTTATCTTTGCGAAAGTGTATTTGAGGCCTGAAACTGCAGTGTTTATCTCATGTAAGTGTTTCAATGGAGAGAGAGAGAGAGTGTGTGTGTGTGTGTGGAGAGAGAGAGAGAGAGAGAGAGAGAGAGAGAGAGAGAGAGAGAGAGAGAGAGAGAGAGAGAGAGAGAGAGAGAGAGAGAGAGAGAGAGAGAGAGAGAGAGAGAGAGAGAGAGAGAGAGAGAGAGAGAGAGAGAGAGAGAGAGAGAGAGAGAGAGAGAGAGAGAGAGAGAGAGAGAGAGAGAGAGAGAGAGAGAGAGAGAGAGAGAGAGAGAGAGAGAGAGAGAGAGAGAGAGAGAGAGAGAGAGAGAGAGAGAGAGAGAGAGAGAGAGAGAGAGAGAGAGAGAGAGAGAGAGAGAGAGAGAGAGAGAGAGAGAGAGAGAGAGAGAGAGAGAGAGAGAGAGAGAGAGAGAGAGAGAGAGAGAGAGAGAGAGAGAGAGAGAGAGAGAGAGAGAGAGAGAGAGAGAGAGAGAGAGAGAGAGAGAGAGAGAGAGAGAGAGAGAGAGAGAGAGAGAGAGAGAGAGAGAGAGAGAGAGAGAGAGAGAGAGAGAGAGAGAGAGAGAGAGAGAGAGAGAGAGAGAGAGAGAGAGAGAGAGAGAGAGAGAGAGAGAGAGAGAGAGAGAGAGAGAGAGAGAGAGAGAGAGAGAGAGAGAGAGAGAGAGAGAGAGAGAGAGAGAGAGAGAGAGAGAGAGAGAGAGAGAGAGAGAGAGAGAGAGAGAGAGAGAGAGAGAGAGAGAGAGAGAGAGAGAGAGAGAGAGAGAGAGAGAGAGAGAGAGAGAGAGAGAGAGAGAGAGAGAGAGAGAGAGAGAGAGAGAGAGAGAGAGAGAGAGAGAGAGAGAGAGAGAGAGAGAGAGAGAGAGAGAGAGAGAGAGAGAGAGAGAGAGAGAGAGAGAGAGAGAGAGAGAGAGAGAGAGAGAGAGAGAGAGAGAGAGAGAGAGAGAGAGAGAGAGAGAGAGAGAGAGAGAGAGAGAGAGAGAGAGAGAGAGAGAGAGAGAGAGAGAGAGAGAGAGAGAGAGAGAGAGAGAGAGAGAGAGAGAGAGAGAGAGAGAGAGAGAGAGAGAGAGAGAGAGAGAGAGAGAGAGAGAGAGAGAGAGAGAGAGAGAGAGAGAGAGAGAGAGAGAGAGAGAGAGAGAGAGAGAGAGAGAGAGAGAGAGAGAGAGAGAGAGAGAGAGAGAGAGAGAGAGAGAGAGAGAGAGAGAGAGAGAGAGAGAGAGAGAGAGAGAGAGAGAGAGAGAGAGAGAGAGAGAGAGAGAGAGAGAGAGAGAGAGAGAGAGAGAGAGAGAGAGAGAGAGAGAGAGAGAGAGAGAGAGAGAGAGAGAGAGAGAGAGAGAGAGAGAGAGAGAGAGAGAGAGAGAGAGAGAGAGAGAGAGAGAGAGAGAGAGAGAGAGAGAGAGAGAGAGAGAGAGAGAGAGAGAGAGAGAGAGAGAGAGAGAGAGAGAGAGAGAGAGAGAGAGAGAGAGAGAGAGAGAGAGAGAGAGAGAGAGAGAGAGAGAGAGAGAGAGAGAGAGAGAGAGAGAGAGAGAGAGAGAGAGAGAGAGAGAGAGAGAGAGAGAGAGAGAGAGAGAGAGAGAGAGAGAGAGAGAGAGAGAGAGAGAGAGAGAGAGAGAGAGAGAGAGAGAGAGAGAGAGAGAGAGAGAGAGAGAGAGAGAGAGAGAGAGAGAGAGAGAGAGAGAGAGAGAGAGAGAGAGAGAGAGAGAGAGAGAGAGAGAGAGAGAGAGAGAGAGAGAGAGAGAGAGAGAGAGAGAGAGAGAGAGAGAGAGAGAGAGAGAGAGAGAGAGAGAGAGAGAGAGAGAGAGAGAGAGAGAGAGAGAGAGAGAGAGAGAGAGAGAGAGAGAGAGAGAGAGAGAGAGAGAGAGAGAGAGAGAGAGAGAGAGAGAGAGAGAGAGAGAGAGAGAGAGAGAGAGAGAGAGAGAGAGAGAGAGAGAGAGAGAGAGAGAGAGAGAGAGAGAGAGAGAGAGAGAGAGAGAGAGAGAGAGAGAGAGAGAGAGAGAGAGAGAGAGAGAGAGAGAGAGAGAGAGAGAGAGAGAGAGAGAGAGAGAGAGAGAGAGAGAGAGAGAGAGAGAGAGAGAGAGAGAGAGAGAGAGAGAGAGAGAGAGAGAGAGAGAGAGAGAGAGAGAGAGAGAGAGAGAGAGAGAGAGAGAGAGAGAGAGAGAGAGAGAGAGAGAGAGAGAGAGAGAGAGAGAGAGAGAGAGAGAGAGAGAGAGAGAGAGAGAGAGAGAGAGAGAGAGAGAGAGAGAGAGAGAGAGAGAGAGAGAGAGAGAGAGAGAGAGAGAGAGAGAGAGAGAGAGAGAGAGAGAGAGAGAGAGAGAGAGAGAGAGAGAGAGAGAGAGAGAGAGAGAGAGAGAGAGAGAGAGAGAGAGAGAGAGAGAGAGAGAGAGAGAGAGAGAGAGAGAGAGAGAGAGAGAGAGAGAGAGAGAGAGAGAGAGAGAGAGAGAGAGAGAGAGAGAGAGAGAGAGAGAGAGAGAGAGAGAGAGAGAGAGAGAGAGAGAGAGAGAGAGAGAGAGAGAGAGAGAGAGAGAGAGAGAGAGAGAGAGAGAGAGAGAGAGAGAGAGAGAGAGAGAGAGAGAGAGAGAGAGAGAGAGAGAGAGAGAGAGAGAGAGAGAGAGAGAGAGAGAGAGAGAGAGAGAGAGAGAGAGAGAGAGAGAGAGAGAGAGAGAGAGAGAGAGAGAGAGAGAGAGAGAGAGAGAGAGAGAGAGAGAGAGAGAGAGAGAGAGAGAGAGAGAGAGAGAGAGAGAGAGAGAGAGAGAGAGAGAGAGAGAGAGAGAGAGAGAGAGAGAGAGAGAGAGAGAGAGAGAGAGAGAGAGAGAGAGAGAGAGAGAGAGAGAGAGAGAGAGAGAGAGAGAGAGAGAGAGAGAGAGAGAGAGAGAGAGAGAGAGAGAGAGAGAGAGAGAGAGAGAGAGAGAGAGAGAGAGAGAGAGAGAGAGAGAGAGAGAGAGAGAGAGAGAGAGAGAGAGAGAGAGAGAGAGAGAGAGAGAGAGAGAGAGAGAGAGAGAGAGAGAGAGAGAGAGAGAGAGAGAGAGAGAGAGAGAGAGAGAGAGAGAGAGAGAGAGAGAGAGAGAGAGAGAGAGAGAGAGAGAGAGAGAGAGAGAGAGAGAGAGAGAGAGAGAGAGAGAGAGAGAGAGAGAGAGAGAGAGAGAGAGAGAGAGAGAGAGAGAGAGAGAGAGAGAGAGAGAGAGAGAGAGAGAGAGAGAGAGAGAGAGAGAGAGAGAGAGAGAGAGAGAGAGAGAGAGAGAGAGAGAGAGAGAGAGAGAGAGAGAGAGAGAGAGAGAGAGAGAGAGAGAGAGAGAGAGAGAGAGAGAGAGAGAGAGAGAGAGAGAGAGAGAGAGAGAGAGAGAGAGAGAGAGAGAGAGAGAGAGAGAGAGAGAGAGAGAGAGAGAGAGAGAGAGAGAGAGAGAGAGAGAGAGAGAGAGAGAGAGAGAGAGAGAGAGAGAGAGAGAGAGAGAGAGAGAGAGAGAGAGAGAGAGAGAGAGAGAGAGAGAGAGAGAGAGAGAGAGAGAGAGAGAGAGAGAGAGAGAGAGAGAGAGAGAGAGAGAGAGAGAGAGAGAGAGAGAGAGAGAGAGAGAGAGAGAGAGAGAGAGAGAGAGAGAGAGAGAGAGAGAGAGAGAGAGAGAGAGAGAGAGAGAGAGAGAGAGAGAGAGAGAGAGAGAGAGAGAGAGAGAGAGAGAGAGAGAGAGAGAGAGAGAGAGAGAGAGAGAGAGAGAGAGAGAGAGAGAGAGAGAGAGAGAGAGAGAGAGAGAGAGAGAGAGAGAGAGAGAGAGAGAGAGAGAGAGAGAGAGAGAGAGAGAGAGAGAGAGAGAGAGAGAGAGAGAGAGAGAGAGAGAGAGAGAGAGAGAGAGAGAGAGAGAGAGAGAGAGAGAGAGAGAGAGAGAGAGAGAGAGAGAGAGAGAGAGAGAGAGAGAGAGAGAGAGAGAGAGAGAGAGAGAGAGAGAGAGAGAGAGAGAGAGAGAGAGAGAGAGAGAGAGAGAGAGAGAGAGAGAGAGAGAGAGAGAGAGAGAGAGAGAGAGAGAGAGAGAGAGAGAGAGAGAGAGAGAGAGAGAGAGAGAGAGAGAGAGAGAGAGAGAGAGAGAGAGAGAGAGAGAGAGAGAGAGAGAGAGAGAGAGAGAGAGAGAGAGAGAGAGAGAGAGAGAGAGAGAGAGAGAGAGAGAGAGAGAGAGAGAGAGAGAGAGAGAGAGTGAGTGAGTGTGTGTGTGTGTGAGTGAGTGTGTGTGTGTGTGTGCAGCTGTTTCCTGTGAATCACTGTTGTGTTTATTTTCATATAATATTTATTCTCATATATATAATCAGGCTTATATTGTCCGCCCATGTGACAGATGATTGGTATATAAGGTTATTATTCTCATAGATTATCAGATGTGTAATGTTATTATTATCAGCTCATCAGACATTTAAATGTAATGTTATTATCAGACATGTAGGCTAATATTCAGAAGTATGAGATCTGTAACTCAAAAGCAGTAATATTATGAAATATTATTATAATGTAAAACAGCTGTTTTCTCTGTGAATCTCTGTTAAAGTGTAATGTATTTCTGTGATGCGCAGCTGTATTTTCAGCATCATTCCTCCAGTCTTCAGTGTCACATGATCTTCAGAAATCAGTATAATATGCTGATCTGCTGCTCGAGAAACATTTCTGATTATTATCAATGTTGAAAACAGTCGTGTTGCACAATATTTTTGTGGAAACTGACGCATTTTATTTTTCAGGATTCACAGATGAACAGAAAGTTGAAAAGAACAGCGTTTATTTGAAGCAGAAGTCTTGTCACAGTATAGATGTCACCTGTGATGAGTTAGGTGTGTTTCTGATGAGTGCAGGACAGCTGTGTGTGAGTCTCTGTCTGGAGGATATGTGCAGGTGTGATGGAAGCAAGCGTGTGTTCGGCTCCAGATGAGGACTCTCTGATTGAAGGAGTGAGCGACTCTGTGCTTCTGGTGCTGGGGCTCAGCGTCACCTTTCTGCTGGGTCTGGCAACGCTGCTCTGCAGGTGACACCCTGACCTCTCACTACTGAAACATATGAAGCATGCTATCTGGAGTGTGATGGAGTGTACTAACGCAGTGTTCTGGTGTCAGGAATGAGCAGAGGATTCACCCGGAGCATCAGGAGCAGGTGCGTGTGCTCCGAGAGCAGCTGCAGGTTTGTGAAACATGCCTTATTTAGGAGTCCGGAATAGAAGATATATTAACATGAACGTTTCGCAGAGCTTGAGTATAAGCATTAAGATGATGGTTTTGAGTGAAGCTGCATTGAAACACGTGCTCCTGTGTTGATCAGCTGTCGGAGCCCAGGCCTCAGTATTACTCGGACATGTCGTGTCCCGTGTGTCTGCAGCAGGCCGTTCTGCCCGTGGAGACTAACTGCGGTCATCTGTTCTGCGGTGAGACTGAGCTCAGGTCCAGTTAAACATGAGCGTATCTGCTGATCGGTAATCACGTCTCTGTGTTTAACCGCAGGGCCGTGCATCGTGGCGTACTGGCGCTACGGGACGTGGCTGGGCTCCATCAGCTGCCCCATCTGCAGACAAACGGTGAACATAAACACACGTCTGTCCTGTTCTGAAGCGCGCCGTGTCCAGTGAGCTTTACTCTCACTTCTGCACTCATCAGAAAGAACCACACAACCAGTGCTTGTTTAGATTTAGCTTTAGTCACATGAATTGTTTTCGCTTTAGTCTAGTTTAGTCGGGTAAATATCACACAATTTTAGTCGACTAAATCTAAAGGGTTTAGTTCAATTGTAATGCATCATTGTTTTTTATTTCTGTTTTGGTTATTTTAGTACATCAGGTTAAGCTAAAGCTTATAAACTAAATTAAATAAGTTTTTTGTATATGAATTTTATACATATAGATTTTTAATTTGTTATCATTTATTTTATTTCAGTTAATGAAGAATATTGTTAAGGTTATAGTTGTAACTATTAAACCTGATACTAGTAGCATGTGTTGAGTGTTTATTTTCCTGCGGTGAGATCAGGACTGGATATCTTCTTCCCAAATCGTCCTTCCCTTACATTTTCGTCGGTGAGACAAATAATGATGAGCACTGTGGGTTAGTGAGTGTGTGTGTGTGTTGTTGGTTTGTCAGGTGACCCTGCTGTTCCCGCTCTTCCGTGACACGGGGGGGGCTCAGGTCGAACCCGTGCTGATCCTCAGAGATATCCACGACTACAACCGCCGCTTCTCCGGACAGCCGCGCTCCGTGAGACGCTTGCATCATAAACACATCACTAGCATGACAAATTAATACGCCTGTCCCGTTTACTGTCATTACTCCCCCTCGAGGCCTAAGTTTCTCTCTTCAGAGGAGGATATTTTGAAGATCGCTGGATTTTCCAGTCCCCGTTGACTTCCAGTGTTTTCCCATACTGGGCATTATTACAATTAATGGCACAATGAATGTTTGGAAATGTAAACTGATACTTCCTCCTGACACACTCCAGCAAAAGATAGAAACAACTGACTTAAAACCATTTCTAGCTGCTGGAAATACTAGCGTTGATTGTTTTGGCCAGCAGTGTGTGTATTTGTTAGTGCACTGAAGTACTCTGTATTTTCCGCTGGGTTAGAAGAGCTCTGGGCTGACTGTGTTTGTGTCTGTGTGTGTCTGTGAAGCTGCTGGAGCGTCTGCGGGACGTCCCGACGCTGCTGCGGCACGCCTTCAGAGAGATGTTCTCCGTCGGAGGCCTCTTCTGGATGTTCCGCGTCCGGATCCTGCTGTGTGTGCTGGGCGCGCTGATGTACCTGGCCTCGCCGCTGGACTTGATCCCCGAGGGAGTGCTGGGGCTGCTGGGCTTCATGGACGACTTCTTCGTCATCCTGCTGCTCTTCATCTACATCTCCATCATGTACCGCGAGGTGGTGACGCAGCGGCTGGCCGGATGAGCGTCTGATCTCTGCTGCTGCTTCCGCTTCGTCCTGCTTCACTGGCTTCATGAACTGAACATTCAACGCATTCGTGTCATAAGAACGCTTCCGATTAAACCTCACAGTGTTCTGGGTTCAGCGCAGCATGAAGAAGAATCCAAAGTTTGAGCTGATAATCCGTCGAAACCTGCTGAGAGACTTTTCTGCAATATTACAGATGTGTTTAATATGATAGAGCTGGAATATGACACACAGACTCGTGCTGCAGCTGAACGTTTGTACATCTCACACACACACACACACACACACACACAGGGACACACAGAGAGACACTCTCTCACTCTCTCACACACACACACACACAGACAGACACAAACACACTCTCTCACACACTCACACAGACACACACACACACTCCTCACACAGACACACACACCTCACACAGTCACACACGCACACACACACACACTCACCAGTGTCTTCAGTCTGTCATTTTCTCTTGACGAAGCTCAGATGTCATTCAAACAGGGCAGATTTCTGCATTAAAGAAAGAGATTCTAGAAAATGAAATTTAGTTAATCTGTGTTTTTGATGGATTTTTTGAAGTGTTGCATTTGTTACATTAAGAGTTACAGAAGCAGATAAACAGCTGGAGAACAGCAGAATAACACATGAAATAAAGCACTAAAAAGGCCTGCAAGCTTGGTAAAATGACTAGAATGCATTTTGGGAGTATTGGAAGAACTGAAGCAGAACTTAGTAAAGCATTTGGCTTGATTTCCACTGTGTTGGCATTTCCCCCTTAATGTTTAATTATGAAAAATCCCTAATCACTTTCAGTGTTTTTGAGCTTTTCTGAATCTGTTCCCGAAGCAGAAGAAGAGCCGGGGAACAGCATCAACATAAACAGTCCCTTCGTTTATCCTTCTCATGTTCAGCCCCAGAAAACTGTTGATGGTTCAGCGTGCTGTGTGTTCTTTGCCTTTATTGAGCAGACGGGAGCGGGACGTTAGTGCAGTGCGACAGGTCTGAGATCAGATGCAGGTCACTGTAGATTTACTGAAAGAAGCGCATTATCATTCCTCACAGCTAGTGATGATACATCTGTGTAACACTTTATTTTAAGGTGTCCTAAATGTGTTGTAGAAGGGACACTATCTGCACGTGGATCAGCACTAAACCGTGGGAATGTGTCCAGGGCAGATGTGTGAGTGATTACACACCCCAACAATCCTCTTATGCCAGTATAATCCTATAATCAGCCGCTGCCATGTTTCGCTGTCACAGCACTAGCACTTGATTTTATTCTTATTGTCTCGCAGAAGTAGGCTTTCAGATCAACCGCAGTCGTTCCTGCTGCAAACCCTGAATGAGGAGCTGGATGAGAGCAGACTGATCTCGCTGAGAGCAGCAGGGGGCAGCAGACGCTCGAGAGCCTCACTGCAGAACATACGTGTGTGAAGAACATGAAGAACATGATCACTGACACTAATATCAAGAGCTCCAGGATTTCACCGGGGTAAATAAGAGGCCTACAAGTCCCCTAATCACCTAAAAACCTTTAGCTTCATTTCTTTGAAGCCTTTATTTAACCAGGAAAGAACCTCTCTGAGATTAAACATCTCTTTTACAGGAGTGTCCAACAGTGCAGCACAACAATAACATAGCAATAAAAGTACTGCATTAGAAGCATTTGCAAATCATTAAATAGTTTTCTATTGTGCTTTAAAAATGTAAAAAAGTGTTTTAAAATGACTGAAAGACATTTGTTTGAAGAGAGAGATTATAATAAGACTGGGAATGCAATGAATAGTTACCATAGTTACATCACTGCAAAAAAATGCTTTTCTTAAAAAAAAAAAAAATTTTTTAAATATTAAAAACATGCTTAAATCAAGAAGGATTTTCTAGACAACTAAAAATAGTTTTCAGAAAAAAACAAGTCAAAATGAAGTGAGGTTTTTGCTTGAAACAAGTAAGATAAGTCAAATCTAAGTAAGAGAAGCATTTTTTGCAGTGGAAGAGATGGCAAAAAAACAACATTTCTTTGTAAATCAATAAGTGCTAATGCATTTTCCTTCGAACAGCAAGAGAAGACCAGGCTACTCTTATATAATGCACAGTGATGTGTAGAGAATTTGCAATCTGTAATAAATCTTAAGGCACCATGATACACAGCTCTCAAGTAATTAATGTGTGAATTAAAACGTAGTGTGTCATCAGTTCTGATGCCCAAGTACTTATACTCTGACACTAATGCACTCCGTTTCCACTCTTTCAGGCCTTTGGACTCATGTTTTCTGACTTCTGGGTCTGTTTGAGCTTCTCTTGGTCTGTTCCTGAAGCGCTAGGAGTCACTCAGAGCCTCAGAAGTGAGCAGTGTTCAGCAGAGCTGCAGGTTTAGGACGGCTCGTTCTTCACTGGTCACTGAAGAGCTCCTTCATCTGTCTCTAATGCAGCCGGATCGCTCACAGTATGTCATGTTCAGCCTCCAGTGGCTTTGGAAAAATGTATAAATAGATAAAAGAGATGAATGTTTATTAAAGGGGTCCTATTATGCTCTTTCACAAAGTCTTGATTTTGTTTTGGGGGTGTACTAGAACAGGCTCTCATACTAGGTTGTTTACCATAGATACCGGCAAGCTTCTGTGTAAATATTGCATCAAAATCAAATCAATTTGAGCACGATTTAAACCCGGATGATTGTAAGCACTCTAAGTTCGTCTGTCTTGGGAACGCTAGCGTGTCTCCGACACAGTGATGATAACACTCGTTGCCTTCTCTAGTGCAACTCAACCAGGTCTCGTCCCATTCGTCCATATTTCTGATATCACAAATCCCGTAAAACATGCGTTGTAGTCCAAACGAGTCGTTCATTGTAGTTTTTGAAAAGTGATTTCTGTTAAATAAAATATCTCCTTTTGAATTGGACTTTGAGCTTTGTAACTTTGCAGATGTTTTGTATGCTCAAACAGCAACATTACAACATTACAGACTAACTAAAGTTGAAAAAGTGAAAAAGCATAATAGCACCCCTTTAAGTAATTACATGTATAAATAATGCTGTGTTGGCTGGAGCCAGCTGAATTAAAAAACAAAGTTCTTATTGTGTTTTATTACTGGTTTGAGTCAGATCAAAAAATCACTTAATATATATACATATATATATATATAAATAATTTGTATTCTACTTCATTTGAAGTTCAATTCTAGTTCCTGTCTGCCTCAGTTTAAATTCAGAACTTCAAGACTAGTCATAAAAAAGTTCAAGACTGGTCATAACTTCTTAAAGTCAGTAACAAAACAGTAGATTAATCTAATTTGAATCTGAAAAGTAAGACTGAGCACACCTTGGCTAATCATTCTTAACAGAGCGCTTGTGTTTATGCAGCTGTCCTCTGAACTGCAATTTGAGAAGCATTGTGAATTAATTTCCGAGTGTTAATGTACCTGAGAAACAAGAGCGCAGCATCTTTACAGCTCTGTCTTTGAGCTTCTGTTTTTGCAGTAGCTCTATAGCCTCGCTGCTGAGAAGTAATAATGTTCAAAGCAGATGTCATAAATGTCAGACCGGGAAGATTTTAAAATGAGCGGATTAATTTTTAAATGTGTATACCTTCACGCTGTGTTAATACAAACAGAAGAGAGAAGACAACGAGTGTAATGAGTGTGTGTGTGTGTGTGTGTGTGTGTGTGTGTGTGTTCATGTGTAATAAGTGTTTGTAATGTGCTCTAACAGCTATAGTTGAAATGTTAATGCAATAGTTGTTTATAGTTAGTAGAATGTCTATAGAGTGGACTATTACAATAAAGTGTAAACAGTAATCTGGATTGTCATGATAAACCCATCAAACACGGCTGAATGCTGTAAGATGATGTTCGTGACATCTGACCCGGTGCGTGATCTGAGCTTGAGTCAGGTGACACAAACACAGCCGCTGTTTTAAGACTTATACTCACATAAGTGCGCATACTCACACACACACACACACACACACACACACAGGTTTACATTTGTGAAAAGTGGGGACTCTCCATAGGCGTAATGGTTTTTATACTGTACAGACCGTATATTCTATTGCCCTACACCAACCCTACCCCTAAACCTACCCCTCACAGGAGACTTTCTGCTATTTCAGATTTTCAATACACTCCATTCTGTGTGATTTATAAGCGTTTAGAAAAGTGGGGACATGGAGTAATGTCCTGAAAAGTCACCTTCTCCTTGTAATACCTGTCATACCTTTGTCATTATACACATTTATGTCCTCATTTGTCACAAAAACACACACACACACACACACACACACACACACACACACACACACACACACACACACACACACACACACACACACACACACACACACACACACACACACACACACACACACACACACACACACACACACACACACACACACACACACACACACTGCAGGATCTGCCATGGTCAGTGATGATCTTTGACACTGGTTAGATTAGCGTTTGATTTGTTCTCTATACTGATCTCTTCTCTTCTTCATGCAGTGTGTTGCGTTCGTTCTGCTTCACTGCTTAACACGAGGAGCGAGCCGCAGCCAGAAGCACTGACGCCAGTGTTTCCCAGAAGTCTGTGCGTCTGTCTCTCATGTTCTGGGTCAGTAAATAGAGAGGTGGAATCATCCCGGTCCCACCCAAGACCTGCTGTTTCTCATGCCCTGCTGCCCGTCTGGCACAGCATTATGGGTAGGTCTATAGGCGTGTGTGTGTGTGTGTGTGTGCGGCGCCCAACCCAACGCCCACACAACCGATCCTGCCATACTGTATGAATGCAGACGGCTGGGTTTCGTTTAAAGTTACAAAAGTTTGTGCCGGTTTACCAGGAAACGAAATAATTTTTAAAAGTAGCAGGTTAATATTTTGAGGAAGGACTAGTAATTGTGTTTGGCAGCTTTCAGCAGCAGAGTGTGAGTCTGAAATATCAGCGGCTCTTCACGCATCTCTTCAGTTTCCACACAGACATTTGCAGAGATTGCTTTAGTGTTTCAAATGAATGTTTTCCATACCACTCTTGTCTTGACTGTTGTTCGTCTCCTCTCATGTCAATCAAACAATCACTTCCTGTTTAAGTCAAGTCACCTTTATTTATATAGCGCTTTTAACAATACAGATTGTGACAAAGCAACTGAACAGCATTAATTAGGAAAATAGTGTCAATAATGCTAAAGGACAATAGTAAACACTCATTTTCAGTTAAAGACAGTTCATCATTGAATTCAGTGATGTCATCATCCAGCTCAGTTCAGTTTAAATATTATCTGTGCAATCAAGTCAACGATATCACTGGATATTAAGTGTCCCCAACTAAGCAAGCCAGAGAAACCAAACCTCCATCGGTGACAGAATGGAGAAAAAACCTTGGGAGAGACCAGGCTCAGTCAGGGCCAGTTCTCCTCTGACCAGACGAACCAGCAGTACAGTTCCAGACTGCAGCAACGTCAGATTGTGCAGAGGACTCATCTGGCTCCTGTGGTCGGGCTAATATGGTCATACTTCCTGGTTCTAGTAAGAACTCTAGCTGCTGCATTTTGGACCAGCTGGAGTTTGTTTATTAAGCGTGCAGAACAACCACCCAATAAAGCATTACAATAATCTAACCTTGAGGTCATAAACGCATGGATTAACATTTCTGCATTTGACATTGAGAGCATAGGTCGTAATTTAGATATATTTTTGAGATGGAAAAATGCAGTTTTACAAATGCTAGAAATGTGACTTTCTAAGGAAAGATTGTTATCAAATAGCACACCTAGGTTCCTAACTGATGACGAAGAATCGACAGAGCAGCCATCAAGTGTTAGACAGTGTTCTAGGTTATTACATGCAGAGTTTTTAGGTCCTATAATTAACACCTCTGTTTTTTCAGAATTTAGCAGTAAGAAATTACTCGTCATCCCGTTTTTCATATCGACTATGCATTCTGCTAGCTTTTCAAATTGGTATGTTTTGCCGGGCCACGAAGAAATATAGAGCTGAGTATCATCAGCATAACCGTGAAAGCTAACACCGTGTTTCCTGATGATATCTCCCAAGGGTAACATGTAAAGCGTGAAGAGTAACGGCCCTAGTACTGAGCCTTGAGGTACTCCATACTGCACTTGTGATCGATATGATACCTCTTCATTCACTGCTACGAATTGATGGCGGACAGATAAGTACGATTTGAACCATGCTGATGCACTTCCATTAATGCCAACAAAGTTTTCTAGTCTATTCAAAAGAATGTCGTGGTCAATAGTGTCGAACGCAGCGCTAAGATCCAGTAGCACTAATAGAGAGATACAACCACGATCAGATGATAAGAGCAGGCAGGCCCGGCACCAGAGGAGGGGCTGGGGGGGCCTGGCCCCCCCACGGACATCCCTGTGCCCCCCCTTCGGATGGAGAGAGACGGTCTGACTTGAGTTTAGCGTGTATTATAGTCTTACTCATACAACTACCTGCTGTTGCTTCTGATTGTTTTTAGATGGAAAAGCTGCCCATTACCCCTCGTCTAGGATCTGTTTTCTTCGTAATAATAGCATAACGAAATAGATTTGTCAGGCAATCCAGTGTATCTGCACTTCTGCTTTGGAAAGCGTCAAATGATTTTACAATGCATTTTCGCAGAGGTGAGCAATGTAGCCAATCACAGACATGTTTGTTGATTTCTAAAATGCAATGGCCAATCAGATGTTTTTAGGTTGGAATCCACGCACTCATCGCTCCAGTCACCGTTTTTTGTCCAGTGCTGAGTTATATCATGCTCATAACTCCTTTCTAACAAAGACATTAAAAAAAGTTTAATCGTGTAGTCAAGTTCATTGTTTAGTTTTTTTTTTTCCTTTGTGAGATCGTGACACTTTTTAATAAATTTAAAGGGAGCACTCTTTGCATATATTCAGAATTTAAATAAAACTTGTGTTTTTCATGCTTGACAAGCGGCCACGTACGACACAGACAAAGCTAACTACTACACTATATAGAAAAAGATAATAATTTCAGAAGCACAGATGTGATTCTGCAACCGAGCCTGGTCCAAACGGGGGACATATCCTAATGACAATGACGAATTAATAATATTCAGAAGAGGATCTATGACTTCTGGAAGCACCTCTTTTAGGAGCTTAGATGGAATAGGGTCTAACATACATGTTGTTGGTTTAGATGATTTAACAAGTTTATACAAATCCTCCTCTCCTATAGTAGAGAATGAGTGGAGTTGTTCCTCAGGCGATCTATAGCGCACTATCTGATGCGTTGCTGTAGCTGACGGCTGCATGGTTACAATTTGATCTCTAATAGTATCGATCTTGGAAGTAAAGTAGTTCATAAAGTCATTACTGCTGTGCTGTTGGGAAATGTCAACACCTGTTGATGCTTTATTTTTCATTAATTTAGCCACTGTATTGAATAAATACCTGGGGTCATGTTTGTTTTTGTCAGAATCATGGACCTGTTTTGTTATGTTTTACCCGTTTCTGTTCCTGTGTTCTCTTATTTGGTCATGTTCCTGTCCTCGTTTAGTTAATTAGTCATTCTGTGCACCTGTGTTTGGTAATTGTCCTGTGTTTATAAGTTCTTGTCTGTGCATTTCTCCTCTGCCGGGTCTATTTGTTGTGAACGTCATCCTTGTGCTCTGTGTCTCCCTCTTGGATCATTAAAAGTCTCTCGTTCTGTGAAATCTCCTCGTGCCCCTGCTCCAGCGTATTGTGACCGTTTTCTTCTAAAAGAGACGAAAAGTAATCAGATCTTGGCGGGTCTTGGCCAGAACTTGCTGCTACTTTTTTAAATATTAATTTTCAAGGAACAATCTTACATGCATCTAATATCCAAATGTGACCCTGGAGCACAAAACCAGTCATAAGGGTCCATTTGTCGAAAATTATCATCTGAAAGCTGAATAAATAATCTTTCCATTGATGTATGGTTTGTTAGGATCGGACAATATTTGAAAATCTGGAATCTGAGGGTGCAAAAAAATCTAAATATTGAGAAAATCATCTTTAAAGTTGTTCAAATGAAGTTCTTAGCAATGCATATTACTAATCAAACATTAAGTTTTGATATATTTACAGTAGGAAGTTTACTAAATATCTTCATGGAACATGATCTTTACTTAATATCCTAATGATTTTTGGCATAAAAGAGAAATCTATAATTGTGACCCATACAATGTATTGTTGGCTATTGTTACAAATAGCAGATGAGGAATATTGAAGTAAATATGAGAAGTGCCCTTTTTTCCACTTGAGCCCCTGCCCCTCGTCCCTGTGTGTGTAACCGAGCCGAAGCGGTAGACAGTGACTCAAACACACGAAACACAAGTCTGAGAGCGGCCGCAGGAAGTGAATGAGTGCTGGGAGCTTTGAGCAGCTTCCTGTAGATCTGCCCTGAAGCTCAGGATCACGTCTCTTCCACAGACACTCGTTACTGGATCAGCTGCTAATTGTAGAGCAGAGAAAGTGAAACGGCTGGAGCTTCATTACTGAGGTTACAGTATTGTTGTGTTATTAGGTTCATTTCATGTGCCAAACATTTTTAAATTTTTTGTGCAGTCGATGATGTTTTAAACAAGTTTTCAATGTTTTGTATCATATGTGATCCATCAGGTTAATAGTGAGAATATGGAGGACAAAACAGCTGAATTTTATTCAGAGACTCAAACTGAGCAAAAACATGAATTTGCTGCAGATGCTGATATTTATATGATGACATTCTGACGCTTGTAACATAAAACAATGAGATCTTTATAACAGTGCAGCAGATACTGACATAAAATGATCTGTCAGTTACTATGGTTGCAACGGGGCGGAACATTTCTGAAACTTTCCAGACATTTTGGAAACTTTTGGAAAGTTTCCAGACATTTTCTGCCGCCAGTCATCACTCTATATCTGCAGTAATCTGTCTCAGTGAGATGAGAGTGAAATGCTCCAAACATATAATGCAGTGATTGAGAGCTGAAGAAATGAAGATGTGAGATGTTCTGGAGGCTTGTGAAGATCATTCCTCCGCTGAGGAACAGTGAAAGTAAAGCTTCTGGAAGCAAACGCTCCTCAAAAGATCCTGAGGATCAGATTTGAGACTCTAAAACATGATTGATGGAGAATCAAGTAAAGCTGAGCTGCTTCAGTGCAGTAAGTGTTCATCTGGAGATATTACTGCAGTTATTCTGACCTTTACTTGATCAAAACCAGTCCAGATCTGACACGAGAAGCTCCAGCTGAAGCTGGACGTTTGTACAGTTACACTAAAAGAGCTTTGACTGGATAAAACACTCTGAACTCTCAATCAGACGACATGCAGGAGATTGAGTGTGTTTTATTGTAAAATGTTGTAAAATTGCATGATCTTCCTTTTGGTTTGGTTTGTTCAATTATTGAATTGAGTTAACGTTCAGCCGCTAAACAGTTTTAATTTTAAAGGAACCAAAATGAAGTTAATCAAGTAGTTTATTTGACTAACGCTTACTGTCTTAAGTCTTACTGTATTTACTGAGGAAAGTTGATTTAAACATTAGTTTGTCTGAACAACTATAATGTGCAAAAATTAGTAAGCAGAATTACAACTGCTGTAAGCATGCTCTGCAACGGCTGCTTTATTGATTTAAGTTAATTAACTCTTTATTTTCTCAGCTGTTTCGTCTGCCTTCTCTTTATCTCAGTCAGCGTCTCGTTCCTCTCCT